GAACTGAGACGTCTTCAGGTGTTCGACAATCGCTGTCTCAGAACCATAGCTCGTGTGTGTTGGTGTCAGTTGGAGTTTTCCATTGAACTATCAATCCTCATGGCATTCAAGTTGCAGATTCGGCCCACGCAGTCGGAAAGATTACGATCAGAAAGTCAACGTCAGAAGGTAAACAAAATTCAATACAGTGCCAAAGACAACAACGCGAAGAAAGCTGAAGAGAGACCTCAAATGTGAGTTCATTTACAAACAGGCGGGAATACAAACATGATCAACTTGATTTAAAAAGACGTCAATTGCCTATGCAGACCACCAATGAAATCCAGAAACGGACGAATACAAACAGGACAGTTATTCGGCGATGATTAAGTAGAACATGAAACAGATAAATGAAGCGGATTAATTTCCGAGAGCACAATAATTGAGCGCAATTGAGCGCTCATATCGAGAGTGCTCAATTCAAACACAGGTTTTAAACACTCGTAGGCGGACCAAGGTAACACATGGATTGTATATACTGTCGTTCTCTTACAACCTTAGTGCGCTCGCTTATGTATGCGACGTCTTGCTCTAAACGTAGCCCATACTTGAAAAAAATATGGCGTGACCATTATTCTCTAACAACCTTAGTGCGCTCGCTTATGTATGCGACGTCTTGCTCTAAAAGTAGCCCATACTTGAAAAAAATATGGCGTGACATTTATTGATTTGCACGTTCTCCAAATTTTAAGGCCTCATACACGAAAACTGTATATCAAAGCAAAACATTCGGGTCAAGATGATTTCACATCCAATGGAGCTTTAGTTCAACCCACTCTTGCTTTTCAAATTAAGCTGGAATGAAACAGGAAACTATCAGACCGATGCCACCGAGGTCAAAAACTCAGAAGAAACGTGTATTTCTACATTGGGCATCGTAACAGATTTGTCCATCCCAATAGGTACGCATTTATCCTGATTTTTCCTTGATTGCTCCAATAGGCATCTGTTAATGCCATTGCCTTTTACTCAAAGTAATATTAGAAGGTGAATAACAATAACAATAAACAGTTATGTGTAGTGGTTACCAGAGACACTAGTACAACTGAATAATACACAAAAGGAATAAGAGACTTATCGAGTTCTTCGTTTGATAAGTTGCAGTGGATGCAGCCGAGGTTTGTAGGACGCAGTGGAATTGAATGCCGGTCTTGACGGAGTGTGTTGAAATCTTGCCTGTTTCTTGCCGTTTAATCCAAAACAATATCGAGCCCAGACTTTTCCTGCACAGTGAGTCGCGCGTAGGTTTGAACTGACCCTGGTCAAGGCGCTGTGTGAAGTGACGAACGTCACCATCCTGCTGTCGTTGTTCCGCATACATATATGATTACTTTGTGAATGAGGATGCGCTCGCGTTCTTTGTCCTAAGATAAGATTCCAGTCTTCTCGATTAGTCGTGGGGCGCAGGTTCATGACATAAACCTGTTATATCTGCTGGTTCGTCAATCTGTGGTATCTGCTGCTAACCCGCTCCAGTGCCTAGTGTCAGAGAGAAAAGACTCAGAAGGGAACACAACAGCTGTATTACGAACAAGCGAGTGAGTGGGAGAGCAAAAGTTAAAACGGCCTCACACTATTTAAAGGGGACTTTCTGACATTGATCCAGGCTGTCTGATAGGCGTTAGTGAACACCCATCAACATCGATCGTGCCTCTGTGAAAAGCCTGAACGCTGATCACATTCGGTCGTGCTTCTGTGGCCGCAAGAACACTCATCAGGTTTTGCTGAATTGATTGAGTAATTGGCTGGCCTGGATGCTTGCCGGCTTTCCAGTTGAGTTTTTGGTGGAGCAGTAGGTTCCGGGCGTTCTGAAGTTGCTTTCAGGAATCTGACCTTCCTGATAAATCCGAACAGGAATGAAACAGTGGGTGTGCATGCGTTGAACAGAGTATGTGAGTGGATGAAGGTAAACATTGATGAGATAGTAACCGGACTGTGAAAGCGGTTGAAGATAAACGTTGAAGGGATGGTAACCAATAACGACTCTGGTAAAGCGGTTGAAGATAACCGTTGACGAGATGGTACCCAACTCGTCCCACTGTGATAACGAAACAAGCCGAAATGTTAATAGGACGGCCTTTTGAAAGAATTTCGAGCGACTAAAAATGCACGTCATTTAAACTGTCAGAATGTGTTCTCCAGCTATTTTTGCTGAACGATTTGTCTGTGGGCGAGGTTTCTTAAATTTCAGCCCCAGGCGAGGTGACAATGTTCAAATATGGCCCATGGAAATAGAAGAGATTAAACCAAAAGGGATTCATTTTGACAACCGCAAAGTTATTCGTATCACACAAGTACAACAAAACCAGCCCGATTCTAATGAAGGATGGTTCTGAGTAACATACGTTTATAGGTTGTTCTGTCAGCTATCCAAATTCCTGCTAGACTGACTACCCTGTTAGCTCAATCCTCATGTGGTTGAATGTGACTGGCCGCTGACTTTGATCTGTTTAAAAAGGCAGGGTCTACAAAACACAACTGATTAGTTGAGTAACGATTCACAACTCCTCCAGTAATCCTGGAACAAAGACCTGTCATTACGTCCACAAATCTCACAAAACTATTTGCGTAATGCACCAGCAAAGTCGATTACACCCAGGCCAATCGTGGGAACGAGGTCCCTGAAATCGGACTTAGCTATGACGAAATATTTTTTGGCCGAAATCTTGTTTTGTAGGTGATGTCGGTTTAGGCCGAGAAGCAGTGCGGATATTCCCTTCCTATTGGAAACAATTAGCAGTGCATGCCTCTGGAATCCCCCGAACGATTATAACGCGAGAACTGTCCGTTAGTAGCTGCAGAATACAAAAAGTCTGGCTACGGGCGGCTGATCAGTAGTATGAGTGACGCGAAATTGGACGGGATATAGCACCATTCATCCGCCATCCACGGAATACTTATTGGTGGTTACCTGTTAGCTTGTCCCAGGTCTTCTCATGCAACGAGCCATATGTAGCCCAGAGGGCGGGATCACTCTGAGGAACCGGTCAACTCTCGTTATGAATCCCGTGATTGAAGGAAGACTGGCGCTTCCCCTTATTAAAATACTGACTAGCTCCTCAGCTGACGGCTTTCCAGATGGAAGGTTTTCCCGTCGTGTGGATGATTCTACCTTCTAAGTTATATGCAGTTTGTTGGTAGCTAGCAACCAGCCACGCAGTGACCAAATGGTGAGAACTTCGTGCTTGAAGAACGTATGGCTCGATATCCCTTTCAAGTGCGGAGTAGTCGCTCGTAGCCGAACGGTTAATCCTTCAACCATTAGCTGGGTTTGACTCCTCTTGCGCGAGAACTTCACTGCTGATGTTTTGCAATGAGGATTAGGCAGCTGCACAGAGCTTCCCGGACTTGCGGCTTGATTGGCCTTCTTTGTAGGAAGAAATATTAAGTGAACAATGAAAAGTAGTTCCGGAATCTTCTCATGTTGCGAACGGTTAACCAGTTTTTACAATTAAACCGGTTCAGTTCGATTGTATGGCATATCGGCCAGTAATGCGAGTAAGATCGATCAACCAAACGGTTATGCGGATACCGCTACGTCCAGAAAATATTGATTCTATATCTCTTTTGATGCAGGATTCAGAACACTTTGGTGAATGTTATCTTGTGTAAGGACAACTACAATATTACGGAAACCATGCAGGACGTTCGGTAAGTGCATCATCTTAGCTTGATCGGTTATTTGGTTTGCTGTAATTATGCATCGTACATCCGAGTAGGCAACAGATGCGCGACAAATAGTCATCGATCAATGTCTTTAGTGAGGCCAAGATCGTTTGAAATTTCGTGATGTCCGGATAAGTAACAGCATGCTAGATAACCAATTAGACAAACAGTTCCTGTCTTCTGACACTCCCGACATTTAAGCGAAAGGTCGGAATGCAACCTCATTCTAGGTCATCCAAGGTCACTCCACGGGGGGTTGCGGCTGTTGGTGGTAGTGAAGAGTGCAGCCTCCCTACCACTGTTCTTTTTATTTAAATAAATTTTCACAGCTGTCTTATACCGATGAATTCGTATTACACCACGATAACTGCCAAAAAAAGTCTGTGTTGAGACTTTTTGTCAGAGGAAAACTCGAGACCTATCACACTGTGCACAGTATGTTCACAGCGCACGCCTCCAGTATGTGCATATCGATCCAAACTGCCCGATCGATACAAAGCAACTCAGCTGATTAGCTCAGCATGACTTGCCCTTTAATCGTCCAAAGTTCATTCGAAACAGCAGCACTGAATGCAGTTATGTTGCACCAGCCATCACATTACCATTCAAAAAGCAATTAAACAGATTGGCTTCACCATAGCCAACGGGTGATCCCTCCATAAGTAAAATTAAAAAGAACCTCAATTAACGCTAGGGTTTACAACCTTCCACCTTGTCTTTCACTAATTAGTTCTTTGACCCATCAGCATATTTATCAATGTGTTTGTTTGACAGGACTTTATCAGAATCACTGCTTGCGTGCAGTATGGTCCAAAAGAACCGAAAGTCAGACAAGCTTTATTGAGCGCACTGTTGTGCATAGACGTTGTGACCATTGTCCCGAAGTCGGTCCACATGCCCGTGAGTATATGAAGTATTCTTTAGAGAGCTATGACAATAAATAGAGTTCGCCACCGTTCCACCCATTTTCTCCCCTCATTCACTCCGTGAAGGCCCAAAGAAAGCGGGATAACGAGGAAAGTGAGACTGTTGGATTTATACTATGTAGACTGCTCACCAGATGCACCCATTTTCACCCCGATGTGGTTTTACTCGGAGGCCTAACTGGATCCCACTTTAATCTCTCGCTTGTGATATTCCGCAACTAAATAGGCTGCATTAAGGCCATCTCTTGTTTCACTTGGTGTGATATTCGAGATATTGTCGTATATTTTCCTGAAGGGACTTTACTCAGCAACTTTATCAGTAGTGTTCCTACAAGAATTTATGGATTATCGACTGGGTATCAAAAATTTTGTTGTGTCGCGAGCATTAGAGGTGCACTGAACAAATTTCCACCGCTCGGTACAACAATGACCACTGAGGTAATAGTTACGTCAGGTTTTTGGACGTAGCAGGAAAGGTGATGAGACAGTTTCAAATTAGTCCCATTTACCTTCAAAGAAATTCGGTAAACTCACTGGTTTGTGTTTGAACTGTTTGGTTCAAAAATTCGGATGTGTGTGTCCATTATACTGTTTTATGTTCAGTAAAAAATGACTTAGTTTGAACAGTTATTGTCCTTCGTTCCAGTTCGCTTGTTGGAAGCAACCTGGAATCACACATTCCGGCCTATTGTGAAGTAAGTTAAAGAGTGTTTTACGCCACACTGGACCGAGATAATGGTTCTCCTTGAAGAACCCAGCAACCATATGCTTTCGGTTTATCATTGAGTCGAACGAGGTTTTTCTTTAACTCACTGTAAGGAGTTATCTAAATTCTTGATATGAGCTCCATCTCATTGACTGCCTGAGTCAGACAGTTTCGTGAAAAACCTAGCCAATCACACTTACGTTTACAAAAATGGCAGATGTGAAACAATTTTGAAGCTCAGTCTAAAAATACATCCGTAGGGGTACGAAGATGAACCCTGTTGACGCTACCTTCACGGTCTAGTGAATCGAAAACTGCCCACGAGTTGTATTATTTGTTGTGCTATGAGATCCGGAAGCTAGTCACTCTTTGACCACGTGAAGTGGATTCCGCGGTCGAGGGATAAACGACGCTATATCGTGTCCTGTAGAATGTATACTCAAATCTATTTCAGTAGTACTGAGTGAAGTTCCGCGTTAATTCAACGTGAAAATCTGTTTGAGGCTCTCATTCTGCAGCATGGCTTCTGCTACGGAGCCCTTAAATTCATTTTAGCCAGCCTTCTGGTTGACAAGAAGCAATCAGCATGTCCAAAGTAACTACATATGAGCTGCCAGCTGCCCAGTGTAGTTCTTCTGCCAAGTATTTCAAATAGCAATTAGGAACGTCATATTCTCTTCCTCTGTCTTTGTACAACATGAGCTGAAAACACGAGGCTGTTGTGGATAGAGGATGGAATTCAAGAACAACTGAAATTAGAGTTGAGGATGGGAGTTTGGCGATCACACTTGCGGTATTCTGACAGCTATTGTATCAAGGCTTGGAGACCTTAAAAAGGTCAAGTCCTGGTGTCATTAACCAGGTGGTGCGAACCGACTAAAATATCAGAGAGAGATACCGACTTCCAGGAGTCGATGCTTTACTCGTAACTACCTATCCTACAATGGTAGTTTGAACTTAAAGTTGACAAATGTACTTTTCACTGCATATGAAAAATGCTGGTTCCGAACTGCTGAAGAATGATGACCCGACTTTGTGAAAGAAATCGTGACATGGCAAGAAACCTTAACATGGCTTCCAAATGACGTTTATTCACTGGAGTATTCAACGTTCTTCAACGCTCTTTGAGGTCAACATCCGTTTTTCAACTGCTACAGCGAACTAATCTTGATTTCCTTGTGCAGTGCCGTCCTACTTCCCAAATGGGGTGAAATTATCATCAACATCACTAAAGTTTCTTTTTAAAGCGCTCGACTTCAGAGTCATAAGACTCGAATATTGCCATAATGCGCCCTGTGTATATTTGTCCTTGCTTGGTTGTGAATTAGACAATCTTTGTGAAATTTCATTATTCCTTTAACCGCTTGTTAGTCCTCACTGCTCAGGGCTTGCTTGTTGGTCTCAGCCACTGGTATGAGACATGTAAGGGAGAACAGAAAACGGACATAAAGTGAGGTCAGTTTGGGTGAGTTATCTTTCGATTCTTATGATTGTCAAGGGACCGCCTTTTTCGGGAAATTTCCGGACGAACCACCCTCAATTAGGATAAAGGACGCATCCAACGTCCCCAGTAATCCTCGCCCACAAGTACGGTAAAAGTACCTCAGTTATTCATCAGAAATATTTTCTGGAGACTCGGTAGTCAGAGGCCCACTCACAACGTAGACAAACCCATCAGTTGTAATGGTAGGCTGCTCCATCACTCAGCAGAACGAAACTGTTGAGGTTATCCCAAAATGCCATAGTATTAACAAACGAATCACAGTAAATAAACTCCGTTGGACATTTGTCTTTATATAACGGTCAAGCCATGGCAAAGCACACTATTTTCGACTCACTGGGGCTGTTGTTGTGAGCTAATCAAAGGTCTCATTCTGCTGAGAGCACAGTCACAATAAACTGAAAAATAAGCTATGTAATGACTTTTAAATCTTTTAAACATTATGCTTAATCCACTCAGCCTGGAATCACACGTCTTACTGACTCGAATCTGTCAGTCCTCTTGATGGTCTCTCTCTGATTCATCGACCATTTCCTAGATATAGCTAAGTCAAGGTGGTCGCTTAGCCAATCATCCACGAAACAGTTTGTGCGACCTCTAAGATGCTGTGGTGAAAGATTATGGCAGTAGATTAGGTTTGCGATCACGACTAACCTTGCACTGTTTCATGTTACAGAAAAAGGTATTTCCAATTACAATGCGCATCCTTCGAAAACCCCTGCAGGGTCTTCAAGGTGAGTACGGAATGTTCTTTTCTTCGACTGGTCTTCCGTTCACTACTCAGAAATCCACCTGGCCTAAAACTATGCAAGATCACTTTGGGAGTTTAGTTGGAACCTTCTGCCCTCCTCACGTCTGTGCCTTGAACGGATTTAAATTAATCTAACGCTGATTATTTTGCATCCATCTATCTAAGTGGCATGCCTCCACCGTTTGACCTGAGGTAGCTCAATGGAAAGCAGTATTCCTTCATTTGTCCATACTTCAAGGATGCTAACAAAGGCTAGCCACAATTAGGTGGACTTACATCTTGGCATGAAGTTACAGGACCATCTGAGTTAGTTGTTTTCAACCAGAATGCACCCCTCCTAAGTGGAATCACGTGAATATTTTTGTAATGTACTACTCATAAGGTTGCTGAAAATCCATCGACAGCCCACGACCGGTTTTACCCTTCTTGGGGCTCATCAGGTAGGCGCAGTCCCCGGGTTTCCGTCAACCTTATGTTCTACTTGAAACCAAATTGCACGAAATTAGCGAATATACACTCATT